GACCTGCTGCTTTATGCCCTGGTACCATTACTGCCCATGCGCCCCTCTCCTCTGCTCCCACCCCCACCTGTGGCACTGAGCACAGCAGGGGACTGAGGACGGGAAGACCTGGCCCTGGAGGTGGGAGTGACAGGTGAAGATCGGGGTGCTGGTGGGTCCCGCCCTCACCCACCCCCCATTTTCCCAGGAGATCCCCCACAGTCTGGCCATCATTTGCCACGCAGGCTGCATGTCAGAATCAGGTGGAGATTTTAAAAAACAAGTAGCTTTGTCCCAGCCCTCGCCTATTTGTGGAAATAGAACCCAAACTTCTTTTAAAAGCGCTGGGGCTCGCAGGTGTCTGGTGGATGAGCGCCGTCCGGAATCGCTGCTCTGCCCCTGTGGTCAGCGCGCTGCAGGCCCCGACCCCCACTGCCCTCTCCAGCCCGGGGCTGTGGACCCTCCCCCTGCTTTCGAGGTGGCTCTGGGCCCCCGACCCCCTCTGCCCTCTCCAGCCCATGGCTCTGGACCCTCCCCCTGCTTTCGGGGTGGCTCTGGGCCCCGACCCCCTCTGTCCTCTCCAGCCCATGGCTCTGGACCCTCCCCCTGCTTTCGGGGTGGCTCTGGGCCCCCGACCCCCTCTGCCCTTCCTCAAGCCCGGGGCTGTGGACCCTCCCCCTGCTTTGGGGGCGGCTCTGTGCTCTGCATCGGTAGTTTGTACAGCCGGCCGGTGGCTTCTTTACTGTGCTCTCCACCCACACACAGGCCGGTGCCACCCGGAGGCCTCTCCCTCCGTCCCTGCGCCCTGGTCACGGTTAACAGGCTCCGCGCACCTCACACACGTCACCTGCCATTTATCCGCCCAGTCCCGCTCCCACTGGGCCACACTGGCCAGGCCGTAAGTCTGGTATTGCTGAGTCCAGCTTGCTAATATTTTGTTGAGTATTTTAGCATCAAGGATATTGGCCTGTAATTTTTTTTTTTTTTTGGTCATGTCTTTATCTGGTTTGGGTATCGGAGCAATGCTGGCTTCCTAGGGTGATGAGGAAGCATTCCTTCCTCTTTGATTTTTCTTGAAGTCATTTAAGGATAGGGATTAATTCTTTAAATGTTTGGTAGAATTCATCTGTGAAGTCATCTGGCCCCAGGCTTTTGTTTGCTAGGAGTTTTTGTGATTTCTGCTTTAATTTCATGACTAGTCAACAGTCTGTTCAGATTTTCTATTTTTTCCTGGTTCAGTCCTGGGCGGTTATATGCTTCTAGAAAAACTGAATTTGTTGGCATCCTTAACGTTTTATATTTTCTGTCGTATCATTTGTCACTTCTTTCATTTATGATTTTATTTGGGGTCTTTTATTCTTAATGAGTTTGGCTAAAGGTTTGTCAATTTTGAATTTTGTTTATCTTTTCAAAGAACCAGCTGTAAGTTTTATTGATCTTTTTCTTTTGTGGGGGGTGGGGTGGGGGGGGTTCTTTTTCTAGTTCCTTTAGTTGTAAATTTAAGATTGTTTGGGATTTTTATTGTTTCTTGACGTGTATAGCTATGAACTTTCCTCTTAGAACTGCTCTTACTGCATCTGTAAATTTGGAAAAGTTGTATTTTTGTCTCATGGTAGTTTTTTTATTTCCTAATTGATTGCTTATTCAAGTGCTCAATAGGGTCTGTAACCCAAAAAGGTTGTGACTTATTAGTCTACATCCTTTTCCAAGACCTTTATACATCAATGCACTGCTGTGAAATGGTTCTAGAACAGCGGTTCTCAACCTGGGGGTCGCAACCCCTTTGGGGGTCAAACGACCCTTTCACAGGGGTCGCCTAAGACCATCAGAAAACACATATATAATTACATATTGTTTTTGTAATTAATCACTATGCTTTAATGATGTTCAATTTGTAACAATGAAATTGGGGGTCACCACAACATGAGGAACTGTATTAAAGGGTCGCGGCGTTAGGAAGGTTGAGAACCGCTGTTCTAGAATATAAATGACTCAGGTCACTTACACAATTTATATTGAATAACCTGTTACATTTAAATCTGTGCTGTTGTTTACCCGAGCTGCATAACCTGACCATATTTCAAACCCCTTTTTCTCAACAGATAAAATATTTTGACAAAAGAAGAGACTACTTAAAATTTAAAGAGAAATTTGAAGCAGGACAGTTCCAGCCTTCAAACACCTCTGCCAAGTCCTAGGCTGCCCTGGCCTCTCCGAAAGGTAGACTCTTCTTTCTGGACATTCCCAGTGCCCCATGGACTGTGGGAGCTGGTAGACATCAGTGCTTCTGCATA